GATTGAGTGTGAGGTTGTTTTTCAAATTCCTCAACAATATTGTGCAAATTCTCCTGGTTTTGTCCAGATGTTATTTCCGTTTTGGACATCTCTGAAGGGTAATTCATTTCAAGTTTTGAAGTGTGTGTTGAGGGATAGCTTTTTTCTATATGACTGTACATATTAGCTACTGACTTTTCAAGTTCTGCTAAGTTTTTAACATGTTTGAGGATTCCTTTTGGTTCTCTCAGAGGACCTGCATCACACACTGTTGTTGGTGTTGATAGCTGTCCCACAGAGGACTCTGTTTTCTTGGCTGGTGTCACATTGACAGTGTGTTTAACAGCTGGTATAGAAGCACACTTAGTGGACAAACCTGAAGTTGAAGGAGGGAGTGGAGAAGGTAAAGAAGGGGGAGGTGGTAGAGGAAGAGAAGGATGTAGAGGGAGAAGAGATAAAGGAGGAGAAGGGGGAAGAGGAAGGGGAGGAACAGGAGGACTAGAAGGAGGAGAAGGGTGGGAAAGAGCAAAAGGATTAAGAATAAGAGGAGGGGGAAGAGGCGGAGGGAAGGGCGGAGGAGATATGTTTGGTGGATGGGGAGGATTTTTCAAAATGTTCCTCTTGGTTTCAATAGTCAACATACAACTGGGTGTCTCTCTCCTAAGGAGTGGAGCATTTAGAACACATGACATTGAAGGAGAAAGTTCCAAGGGACAGTCAGCAGGAGAAATGATGACATCGGGTTCTGATCTAAGTTCCACAGTTCTTGAGACAGTTGGCAGAGTAGAGAATGTGGAATGAGACCAAGAAGAAAAGGAAGAGTCTGAAGATAGAGATTTCAGCTGTTCTGTTCCTTGTACCGTCAGTGATTCACCTCGTCGTGCCTCTTTCTCTGTTACCCTTGTGTCTCCAGCTATGAGCAAGGGATTGCTGCTACCTCTTGTGTGTGGATAAGGTTCAGTGCTTTCACTTCCCGCTTTCTGCCTGTTGCTTTGCCACTGATCCAGATCTATGGTTTCCAGTCTATCGGGACATTCCCACTTTGGTCTCTTAGGTAAACCAAACGTCTGATTCCATATCCTTTGGATCTTTTTTCGTGGGCCCCTCAGAGACTCCTTCTTGGCTTGTGCTCTTGGTAAAATAGAGCCTATAGAATCTGTTCTTAGCGAAAAGTCTGAATGTGTTGATCTTGGATCTACATGTTCCTTATAAAGGGTACTGTGGGTATTTAAGGCATCCTCCTCAGATATCAATGTGAATTTTCTTGCAGACGTGGGCTGGCTGTTCTTTAATGATCCCTCTACATAAGCCTGCTCGTGAGCCTCAACAGTGCTGGAGGAAAAGGGCATCACCACGTGCTGATGTGTCTTGTCTTCTGAGACTGACTGACTTCCCCTGCTTTGTTGGAAATGGTAGAGAAGGTAAAGACTTGAAAGAAAAGAAGATAATGAAATGTAAGGAAACAGGTTGTGCCATAGCTTTCATGAGAAAGATGTTTTATATGGTTCTCGTTACGACCTCAAAATATAAAATGCCAAATAACACTAATCTATTGAAGCAAAACATGGCTTTCATGTCCCTGTTCTCAAAAAGACAGGACAGAAAAGCTTGAGCGCTGTGAGTAACATGATATTCTATTTTTTTTGCCAAAATGTATCAATCTGTACACTGATTTCCCCCCAATTATTTTGATACAGCAAAGTTTCCATGACCACACACAACAGTTCTCTCATGTATAAATCATAATTTTCCAAAATTGCAGACTAGCATTTTGACGAATTGTTGCATGTCCTTTGCCTTGGTTGAGGATGCCCAGAGCTAACTGTTTTTGGGGAATGGATCCTTGGCTGTATCTGATTCATAACTGTCCATTATCTTTCATCTCAGTAACTCTGTCCTGGAGCTAACAGTACTTTTTTTGCTGAGATAAATTCCTGCAAGAGAATACAGAAATATCTTTCCTATCCTCCAGATTCAGAGAATTAAAATCCCCAAGCACAAGTGAGAGAATTTCTCTTGCAGCAGATTTCAAAATCACAATTGAGAAATTTAAATTTACATCAGAATCTTGACGGGAATTATTTTCTTCTACTTAAGTTTTGCTTAATCAGTTTAAAACCATATATTTTAGAAACAAGAGAGGGAGTGTTGATATTTCTTTTGAACATGTCCTTGGTCAAATTTTAGTCAAGACTCATTTTACTGAAAATAATTATGTTAATGAAACATAGTTTTGATATCACTAGAAAATGTCCTCATATATGACAGTGAGTCATAGTGCTATTTATCATGAATAAAATTGAGTAAGCCAAAGGGCACTCGGATGAGAACATTGGGACCCTTTGCTTGAAAGTTCAGAGTGACAGATTTATTTTTGTTATTGCTTACTATTTCCCCACATGAAAGAAGTTAAAAGGGAAATATATTTTGAATACAATAGACACACTAAAAAAATTAAGATGATGTGAATCAATAAATGATATATAAAGTCAAAGTTGTTATTGTGACACTTTGTAAAGAAAGATACATGCTGCAAAGGAAGGATTCTCACAGGTGGACTTAGGGTACCAGAATAATTTGAAAAGTGCAGACAACATAGATTAACAGACAGGAAACACTTAGAGTCCTCTTTTAAAAATGGGTTTGACATTATATAGCAGATGTTTTTGTGTAGGTCTGTTCTTGGAAACAATTATCTATATAATGATGATATCACTTGATTGAAAGATAAAATATATAAATGAAAAGCAAGAACTTTGAAACTCCTCTTAGTAGACACAGGTACTATCCATGGACACACTACTTTTGATATCTTGAAATCTTATGAGTTTAAAGATATCAAAAGTGAATGAGATGTGACTTCTATTTAAAAAAAAATGGCTCCACAGTAAAAGATGAAGATTACTGTTGATAGAATAAAACAGTACTTGATCTATTTGATTGCATCTTTTTTTTAATGCCTTTGAATTAGAATAATATTATTTACTTACTCATGCCTATGTATCCACAGGTAAGAAAGAGAAAACATGTGACAAAAAAAAAGAAGTTTTAACCATAGTTAATTTGAAACGATTATGAAAATACTAATAGGAACTAGACTTAAGCACTTAATAAGTATACCCAAAAAAGAAAATACATGGTTTTCTATTTTCTCGGTATTTATTCTAATGGCATTTAATGGCATTTACTTGGATTTTCTCTGTATTTATTCATTAGAATAATAGGTAATGGCATTTACTTGGTTATCTTACCACATAAAATTATATCTAGCTATCCTGTAAACATAGCTAAAATTCACTTCTATAAAACATGAATGGTTTCACTCCTAAAATTTAAATGAGATTCTAAAAATTGCATCTATATTCTACCTGAACAATAGGCCTGCACTGATTTATAAATAAGACACAGTATTCTTGGGAAGAAGTAAGTATACAAACACAATAATCTTAATGACTATTACAGAGTAATTATTGAATCTACATGAAGTTATTCTTCTTGAAGTTTTTCTAGGAAATGTCCTTTGATAGTTTTAAAAACATTTGTCTATAATTCATTTTTCTAGTAACTTATGATTAGAATCTCTGTAAAAAGTTTAAATAATTTAAAACTTGGTTAAAGATAATTAAATTGTAGAACTTAAAATACTTCAATAAATATATATTAGAATAGTAAAATCCTCTAAATATATATTAGAATAGTAAAATCCTCTAATATGTCAATAATTTTTCAAATAAAAACAACCTTAAGTGGTGCTATTTGAAAATTATCACCATTAAACTATATTGATTTCAGATGATGTTATTGTATACCTGCTTTCGTTAAATAAAAATGGATATATATAGCCCTTACTAATTTCATATAAAACACACAAGTTTATACCTCAATCTTTTTATAGTTTCTAAACATTTTTGCTAGAAAGAGATGGTTAATCAAATCATATTGGCTCAATTCCTACATTCACCAATGAGACCATTGTTTTCAACTTATGAAAAAATATATTTAAGGCATAACTCCTATATTATTATTTTAGAAATAAGCATTAAAATGTTTTAATTTTAGCATTACACAACATTAATACAGTTAACATTTTAAAAACTATTCTTAATATAACCTTGTGTAATTGTATTAATATAGCAAATAATATCGATGTTGAATGTTTAAAAATGGCTTTCCCATTGAAAGGTAAGGTTTACAATATTTGAGGCTTGCTTTATTCCTACTAGTAAATGCTAAAAATGTAACAGTAAATGTGTTTAAGAACCTAAACCAATTTCAGCTAATAAAAGGTTTTCTGGATTTAATTTTATCATATTCAACATTTTATAATATCTTTAGTTATTTTGCATCCAGAAAGTTACCCTTGAATTTAAAAAATTTTAAAAATATAGTCAAGTTAAAAATCTCATCTTTAAAAGTCTCTTTTAAAAATAATGATTTAACAAATAGTATAGAGGAAATATTAACCTATTGTGCAATCTCTTTTGAGAAGAATATGATAAAATAATCTTCTAAAAGTGATTTGGGTATTTAATATTTAATTATTTACTTTAATTCAGATTTCAGCTATTCCACTTTATCCATTGTAAAATAGTAATTCAGATTTCAGCTATTCCACTTTATCCATTGTAAAATAGTATGTTAGAAAAGTCTATGACTTCAGACAATACAATTATTTTATGTCACCAAGCAGAAGTTGGCTTTTGATACCAAACTGGGAATTATGACATTGCTGTATTCTCATTTTCTATGACAAACACTTCTTTCAGAATCTATTAGAGACTAAATATAATGCCTCCTCATATTGAATACTCCTTCTCTCTGTCTCAGTTTTTAAAAACTTTCTTTGGTTATTTGTGTTTTAACTTCTCTTGGGTTCTTAACAATTTTCTGTTTAAAAAAAAAAAAATGTAAGAAAGTAGACTGCAAATTGCATTTTCCACATCGAATTGAAACTAAATACTCACCACACAGCATCAGTGAAAACACATTTACTTCTAAAACGCCCGGGAAGTCCTACTTACATTGTGCTGTCCCCAACTTCTTCGTAGAGATGTGCGCCCGGAGGTGGCGGGCCTGGAGGGGCGGCCGCTGGGGCCGGAGCCGCTGGCTTGGGAGGGGGCATCGCAGCAGCGGCAGCTTGGAGGCGAGCTGTCTTGGTACATTCGGCCTGGCGTCTTTAGTAAAGTAAGCATGTATTTGTAAAACTGTTTTAGAAACCATATGCTTAGCAATAGGCTGACTCTTATCAGAGAAACTACCCAGTAAAATGAACAAAACTTTTATACAAGACTTTGAACTTACAAACCGCTATAATTACAAAGGTATGCCCACAGGATAGTCACAAATACTCCCTCAGTGTTCTTGAAAATATTTACCCCTTGATAACAAGTAGAATTCATTTGAAATATCTGCAACGTTAAATGATAACATTAAAGGGAGAGAGCAAAAACATTTACAAGAATAATGTGATTAACAATTGGTAGTTGTTTAATGGATCTCTTTCATAATGTGAGGCAGATAGAAGATATTTGTAATTATGTTTTATCTTTCACTTATTTAAGAATGATCTCACTTAAAATTATTTGAAATATTTTTGACATTAGTTTACGGAGGCTGTGTAGGAAGGAGATTTGGCTAGCTCCGTGGTCGGCAAACTGCAGCTCGCGAGCCACATGCGGCTCTTTGGCCCCTTGAGTGTGGCTCTTCCACAAAATACCATGGCCTGGGCGAGTCCATTTTGAAGAATTGGAATAGGAGAAGTTTAAATTTAAAAAATCTGGCTCTCAAAAGAAATTTCAGTCATTGTACTGTTGATATTTGGCTCTGTTGACTGAGTTTGCCGACCATTGGCTTAACTCTTATTCCTTTAGCTACGTAAGTAGTAGAGCCTGTCATTCTTGCTTGGAGCAAGGCTGCCCTTTTTCACCATCCTGCACACTGATTCCTAATTCCTTCCTCAAAACCAAGATATCAAGAGTAGAAGCTATCCGAGCAAACTTTCTTTTTTCACATTTCCCCCAGTTACATCTAATTGTATAACACCAGCTCAATTCTATGTATACAAACCACAAGGAAATTTGAGCTAAAAAATCATATACCTACGGCAAATACAAAGCAGGCAAATGAAATATGGTTTGGGGCAGGTTGACTGCTTTAACAGTATTCTCTGGGGCCTCTCTGTTCATGTTACATAAAATTATGAGCAATATATTAGTCATCATACTTACACTTTAAACCTGTTTGGGGAAGCAATGGGTAAGAAAAAAAGAGAGAAAATTGCATTAAAATATTGCATTCATAATATTCTAATATTTGATTTATTCTAAATTATGAATAATTTACCGGTCAGACTGACATAGATTTAATGACATAGTACAGAAACTTTCAATTCAGAATTTGGTGAGCACTTTAATATTACTGTCATAGACACATAAACTGTTAAAATATTTATTAGACAAAACAAAGAAATGAACTAAATTGAATGAGAAAAATTGTATTTAAAATATGAGTTTGTGAATTTCAACTTCGATAGGGAAATATTAAAAATGATGTGATCTTTATAATCAGCTCCTTTGTTTACTGTGCCTGACGATGGTGAAAGGAGTAGAGAGAGTGGAGGAGTGAAGTCAGAGGAATAATGAGGTGAAGGATCCCCTTCATCTCTCCCCTTTAAGTTTCTTTCTTTTTTTTTTTTTAATATATATTTTATTGATTTTTCACAGAGAGGAAGGGAGAGAGATAGTTAGAAACATCAATGAGAGAGAGTCATTGATCAGCTGCCTCTTGCACACCCCCTACTGGGGATTTGCCCACAACCAAGGTACATGCCCTTGACCGGAATCGAACCTGGGACCTTTCAGTCCCCAAGCCGACGCTCTATCCATTGAGCCAAACCGGTTTCGGCTCCCCTTTAAGTTTCTGATAGATCCTCCCTTCCTCCAACTGATGGACAGATGTAAACTCCACCTGCAGCTGGACATTCCTGAGCATTAAACCACCAATCAGCACCTGCCAAATACCCTAAGCCCCTTCCTCTATCCTCCCCTTAAAAAGTGCTGTACCCTGGCCCTTGCTCTCTACAGCTCTCTCTCTCTGGAAGCAGCTGGCAGTGGTACTCTTTTCAATAAAGCCTGTGTCCTGGCATCCTGGTCTCCGGCCCCTCTCTGTTTCATCTTTTAGTTTCAACAAAGAATTCCCTGCTTAACACACACACACTTGAGAGACCTGCATATTGAAACATAAAGATGGGCAAGTGGGGGTGAACTGGAGAGGCAGGAGGGAGAGGAGCTCAATCAGCCATGGATGCAGCCTTGCAGCATGGAGCTCACTGAGGCTAGGCCTGGAGAGGGGAGGAATTGGGCTGTGGCTGGCCATCCCCTTCAGCTGGGCAGAGAGATTTGGTGAGCATTCCTACAGGAGTGGACAGTTCTAGCTGCAGCTGAGCCCATGACCCAGGCAGAGAGTAAGCACAGAAGTGTAGCTGCAGTTGTCTGGAAGTGGCATTCCAGACAGAAGGACAAAGCTATGAAAACTGGCCACCTCCCAGAGCTTTGCTCCCTTCACCCTCCATGTCAGGATGCAGAGAACATTATCTGCCAATACCAGGACTGGTATACAGAAACACTTTCTCCCTGAGCAAAGGGCATAACCTTCAACTCATTCCAGGATCTGGTAGAGGCACAGGGGGGATGACACAGGTTCATCACCACTGCTAGGAAGGAAAAGCAACAAAGGTTCCCCCATCTACCCCTCAATACCCACACACAATGGCTGTGCTGTTGGCAGAATCTGGCCGCAAGGGACAGCACTGGGAGTTGATTTGGACCCTCATCGCCCACTGCAGTCCCCTGTGAGGCTGGGTCCCTAAGACCTGGGTGACTGTATCTCATGAGAGGCAGTCATTTTCCAGGGAACACATGTCATTTCCCACCATTTGACAGAGGTCTGAACAGGCAGACAAGTGCAGAAACATGTGGTTCAACATCATCTACTGAAAAACAATAGAAACATTGTTTATCAGTCTACTAGAGAAACTCCACTCAGACATAGGTGTCTAGATAGAAAAGGAACCCATGTAATTCCATGCATAACCAAAGTAAGAGGCAACTCATTAAGAAAATGAAAAATCTCCAGAAAATAAATTTAAAGACATGGAAATACGTGCTTTAAATGACAGATAGCTTAATATGAGTCCTGAAAAAAACAAGATGCTAAAAGCAAACAAAAACAACCCCAGTCAGATGGGCAGTGTAATAAACTCAGAAGCAAAATCAATGAACAAAACTAGTATTTTATCCATAATAAGCCAGAAATAAAGCACCTATGTATGTGGGCAAACAATTTTTTACAAAGAAGCCAAAAATACCATGAGAAAAAGAAAGCCTCTTTAGTAAATGGCGCTGGGAAAATGGAAAGCCAGATGCACAAAAATAAAAGTTTGTTTCTATGTACAAAAGTTAATCCAAAAGGTATCAAAGGCTTTTATATAAGATCTGAATAAGTTATTAGAAGGGAACATGGGATACTAAACTTATAAATCTTGATCTTAGAAAGACTTCATGAATTCGACCCCAAAGGCAAGGGAAGTAAAAGCGAAAGTAAATGAATGGGATTATATCAAACTAAAAAGCTGCTGCACAGCAAAAGAAACTTCCAATAAAACAAAAAGGCAACCAACTGAATGGGAGATGATATTTGCAAGCAACAACTGCAACAAGGCAGTGATATCCAATGTATATAAAAGAACTCCTACAAACTTTCCAAACACTAATTCTAATTAAAAAAATGGACAGACAACTTGAACAGACACATCTCCCAAAACTATATGCAAATAGCCAACTGATACATAAAAAGGATGGTCAACCTCATTAACCTCATTATCAGGGAAATGCATATCAAAACTATCAATACAATGAGATACCATCTCACACCTCATAGAATGGCTATTCAACAAGACAATAGTGAGCCTTGGAGAGGGTGAGGAGAAAAAGGAACCCTAGTGGGGGTGTAAACTGGTACAACCACAATGGAAGTTCCTAAAAAAATGAATAGAGTTACCATATGACCCAACAAACCCTCTTCTGGTTTGTATTTGAAAAATCTGAAAACATTTTTTCACGAAGATATATGCACCCCTATATTCACTGCAGTGTTATTCACAGTGGCCTAGATATGAAAACCTTTAATAAATGATTGAATCAAGGAGGTATGGTACATATCTGCAATTATTAAATGTAGTACAAATCTTCAAATGTAAGGCATCTTATTATTTTTTTTAAATTTCAGACACTGATTTTAATATCCAGTTTTTGTTCACTGCACTGTGTGTCAAATAAAATGTTCTCAATGATGATATTGCTAGTAGGATATAACAAAGATCTTTTGGAAATAGTTGAATAAAACAAGGTAGCCACAATGTAAACTACATTTAACATAATTATTAACATTTGGTTGACAGCTTAATTTAAAACAATTTTGCCAGTATTAAGTGTTTCATTGGCTTTAAATATGGCGTAACAATTGATTTGTTAAGGATGCATGGAATTCCAATACATATATCCACCTAAGTGTTAAGTTTGCTCTTCACATTACTTTTGTGATTGAAAATAGTCCTATAGCATCTTGGTATAGAGCATACCTTTTATTTATTTATTTATTTTTTTTAAATCAATCTTTATTGTTCACACCACTACAAAGGTTCCTCATTTCTTCCCCCCTCCACCAGGCCCCCACCCCAACCTCCGCCCCCCACCCCCATCCCCCACTGTCCTCATCCATAGGCGCAGTCCACGTTCAGTCTCTTCCTCCCTCAATCTCCCCAATAGCAAATCCCTTTTCAGATAATAAATCAGTTACCCAGCATTTTCTCATATCAATAATACCTCCACATGCCCAATGATACACCTCACACAAAAGACATCTCCCACTAGGTCAACCAGCCCCATCCAGGCCCCACCCAAGGCACCCACAGATCAACACCCCAGTCCCAAACCAACTCAACACATCCAGACCTAAGCCTTCATCACCCGACCCAGCAAACCCTCAAGCTCCCACGAAAGTTTCCAGCCATGTCCGAGAAGCAGCCGTGGGGCAGGGGCAGGCAAGGAGCGAGCTGTTCTGGGCCTGGCTGCTCAGGGCCTGGCCTCTGTTGCTCCGGTTCACTCCACAACCAGCTGCTCCGGGTCTGGTCACCGCCGCTCCCGACCCAGTTGCTCTGGACTTGGCTGCTGCTGCTCCGGGCCTGGCCGCTCCCAGCCTGGCCGCCGCTGCTCCGGGCCTGGCCGCACCCGACCCGCCTGCTCCCCCGGGCCTGGCCGCTCCCAGCCTGGCAGCCGCTGCTCCGGGCCTGGCCGCACCCGACCCGCCTGCTCCCCAGGGCCTGGCCGCTCCCAGCCTGGCAGCTGCTGCTCCGGGCCTGGCCGCACCAGCCCCGCCTGCTCCCCCGGGCCTGGCCGCACCCAGCCTGGCAGCCGCTGCTCCGGGCCTGGCCGCACCCGCCCCGCCTGCTCCCCCGGGCCTGGCCGCTCCCAGCCTGGCAGCCGCTGCTCCGGGCCTGGCCGCACCCGACCCGCCTGCTCCCCCGGGCCTGGCCGCTCCCAGCCTGGCAGCCGCTGCTCCGGGCCTGGCCGCACCAGCCCCGCCTGCTCCCCCGGGCCTGGCCGCTCCCAGCCTGGCCGCCGCTTAGAGCATACCTTTTAATATTAATATTGGAATGATCTTATTTAACTCAAAAGAAAATTCTCAGTGTTGGAGAACAAAGACAATGGTAAAATAATATGTAAGGACTTTCCCTGTAGGAATTTTAAATGATGAATAACAGTTCTACCATTATTTCTTAGTGTTTGTTGTACCAGCAATTTCTATGATGTATTACCCTTATTTTTTATTCTATTTTTATTTTGTGGCACCCACAGGGCTACCTCTCTTCTTAACCCATTTCCCAACATTGCCACTGAACACTGAGCTCCCACGAATACTCACTGTCTGTAGCTGACCAGAACCACCAGGACGGCGGGGATGCAGCAGAGGATGATGATGAAGGCCAGAGCCAGCAAGGCGCCTTCTGTGTAGCCCAGGGTTTCTCCTCGCTTCTTAATGCTGGTCACTGCCTCCGGCGTCCGGATCTCCAGGATGCGTCCTCCTTCCCCATAATGCGGTTGAAAGTCTTTATTGATATCGAGCAGTTTGCCATCCAAGAATCTTTATTGTTAAATAAATAGTAAATTAGATAATATTAACATAAAGTCTTTTGCAAATCTAGTATTTTAAATGAAACATAAACTCAGAGTCTTATGAATTAAAAAAACACATAAAAAGCAGGAGAAATAAAAGAGTAAATACATACCTATGTACACATCAACATTATGAATAACAATGACTCTTATTATGCTTATAGGCTTGGGAAAAGTCATTTTCAATATCATTGAACTTAATATCACTATGTTGAGATTATTCACATTATGTTATTCTGGTGGAATCTACAATAATAAAAGTGTAATATACTAATTAGACAGGACATCCTTCTGGAAGAAGCCGAGGCTATGAGGGAAGACTGGGTCCTGGTTGTCAGAGGGAAGCCTGTGCCAGCAGGCAGGGGAAGGAAAGCCTACTCTTGCATGAATTTCATGCATTGGGCCTTAGTATTATAATAAATAAGCTGTTCTGTGTGTCTTTTGCCCCCCCAAAATTCCTGGGGAACATTAAAAAGTGTCTTATAAATCCTATAATATTAATGCAACATTTGTATCCTTCATACCATAAAACTATAACATGTCTTAGGCATTTTTCTTTGATTATTTTTATTAATAAAGGTCAACTGTCTTATTATAGAACATTGGAAAATACAAAATATTTCAAAAAGCAACACTGTTCATAGGCCCACAATGCAAAGATAACCACAGTTAATGTTTTGGTATTCTCAAACCTAACCTTTTTTTTTTTTTATAAGTATTAATAAATATTTTTATATAATTGTAATTTCACATAGAATAGGCAAAGTAAAAATATTTAGAAATATATTTCTTAATATCAAAATAGCATACTTTAAAATGTGAAAAATACAAAGAAATGTGAAAAAAGAGATGAAAATGGGTTCACATTCCACCATTAAATGGTAATCAAAGATGTCAAACTTATACATTTTATACTTTGACACATTTTACTCTAATTTTCTGAGTGATTTTGCTGATAGTGATTTTGCTAAATACATTGCTCAGAGAGATTCCATATAGGAAAAAAGAGCGAGATGGCGGCCATCAGATATCAGTTCCACAGGGCAGTCTTACTCTTACCTACTTAATAAATCTAATGGATGAGATAATTCAATTTTAGTTTTAAGTCACACCTATTTGTACTTATTTCCTTACTATAATATAAAGCGACTAGGGTTTTTTTTTTGTTTGTTTTTTTAAATAAATATGTTTTTGTCGATAAACAACATACTCTATAGCAATTTACCTAGGTTATTTTTATACATGCTAACATAATATAATAAAGGTTTAACTATTGCTGTAATACTAGAATAGAATGGAATGCTAAAATTTTTGTTTCAACCATTGATCAGAGAAAGTAATAAATTCCAAATAAAGTATAGACTTAGTGATATTTCAAAGGAAATACTTTATTGGAAATAGGAAGGTCAGAAGGAGAATAAGACCATTAACTGCAAAGAAAATTCTACCCCTATTTTGCAGAATCCACGGAGAAATCACAGTTCTTTTGGATTCCTGATTTAATATCTAATCACCTAAAGGAAAATCTCAGTCTTTTTACACTAAAACAGCTCATTTAACAGTCTTTTTACACTAAAACAGCTCATCAATATTTAAAGATATTTATTTTGGTTTACTTACCAATTTAGGTAAATTTTTTTATTTTTTATTTTTTATTTCTTTACCAGAAATGTTGATGGTTGTTGAACCCATATCTGATTTATAATATTTTTATTTTTACTTTATACATGCAAAACAATTTGCCTAGGTAAAATATTTTTGAAACAATAGTTTTCCTTAAAATTTTATAAATTTTGATTTGTCTTTGATATTTTACATGCAGGCGGAATGTGTAAGGCTTATCTAATTTTATTCCTTTATAGTCAGTAATTTTTATTTCTGTTTCAATGGTTTTAAAGCACACTTAGATACTTTTGAAGGACACTGGAGAGCCTTTTAATTGATTTTGCCTGCACTAGAATAAAATCTTAGTTGTATTTCAATTTTTAATTCTGTGATAACTACTGCAATTTTTACCTCAAGGGTACCTGCAATTATCAGCTTGTATCTTGATTGACCTATAAATAGATTCTGATCTCTTCATGATCTTTATATCTTTTCTTATCTTGTTGTTAATATGCTATGAACTTCTCATGTATATACTTCACGCTGCCAAATTATTTTTCAGATTATTTCTCTTTTCCAGCAATGTTAAATCCAGAACTAAGAGGATTTCAGATTTTCACCCTGAAGTGTTTTATACCTTTCCTGATTTCAGGACTAAGAATTCTATTACCCCCTAAAATTACATTATCTCGGAATAAATAATTGGTTCTCCCCGGAATGTGAGCTAACCCAAACCCAGTCAGTGTGAGTGGAGGAATGGCTTAGTCCACTTGGCTTGTTATTGTAGATGGTAGATTCTCTCCATTCTCTGCTGCAATTCTTTTAGCAGAAAGAGGGGAAGGGCTCAGGGCATGTAAAATGCATATACCATTTCACAATCTCCTACCATCTTGCTTTCCACTAAAAATGTTAAATTGTTTCCAATGGTTCCAGTAGGAGAAATTTCCAGAGATAAATAGTCTCAGAGTCATCAGTATATTATTTGCTTTTCAGCATTTATTACTGATTCCATTTTCCCCTCTGCTTACTCATCTTAGAAAGTAAATAAGCCTGTCAAATTCAACAACCTGAAGAAATGTGACATTCTCTTTATTATCATCCAGTTTACTTAGTTGCTGCTTAAAAGGGTGAGGCAAACACATCTCATCCCAGGATCTTGCCTATATTAATTGATCACCGCTGTGTTCCTAAGATGAGATAAATTCTTAAACCAAATTGCATGTTGGAATGTGATACTCAGTCAACTGATGGATCACATACCAACATGTGTTCCTTCTCCATTTACTTGTGTGGGACACAGCTTTCAAAGTACCTTGTGTTCACCAGCTATCTACCCTGCATTTTACCATGATGATGCTGGTGTTGTAATGAACATGTTAATAGAGAAATAAAAGGGAAGGTGAGCAGGAGAAGGTACTCTGTACTTCACAGAAACTCACACCTAAACAGCAGAGGGGCAGATGCCTATTTCCCTAATAGGTACACAATCTAGGTCTCTAAAACAGGTTTCTAGAATGGACAATGGTTCACACATCTGCCCACACACATTCCACTTGGATAAGGTTGGTTTGCTTAATAAAGCAAGTCAGGTAGACCACTGTTATATCTGTACAATACAAAATTATTTTAACTAAATTCTAATAATTCGTTTTTCATCTAATTGAATTTTCAGTATTCTAAATGTAAGGTTATTTTTTTCTGGACTTAGGAAGCTGAAAGAAGCTTTATCAGAGTTTGATAGATTCTATTTTAAAGTATAAATATAGTTAAATATATTTCAAACATGGTTTGTAGAATACACAGGTTTTTTTCTACCTTCTTCATCTTTCATTTACCATCTGGAGAGATTAGTGCTAAACAGTCTGGGTATATAAGAAAGGTACAAGCTAAAACTATATGTGCTCTTTAAAAATAATTAGTTTTATTTTAAAGTAATATAATCTGTTCTGAATATAGTTTGTTTTAAATCTGTTCATCAGCAAAGTTTCATTGCTCCTATTTTAGAAACAATGAAATAGTGACTTAATACTATCTTAATTTTTAAATTTATGTGTTTTAATAAAATGGATATTTACTAAATTCACCCACATATGAATATATATGCAAATTTGTATACCTAGATATTTCTGTATATGTTATTTAGTATATATAAAGAAAATAAATTCTGAAATTATGAATATTGAAACGTGTATTTATGGACACACAGACCTAAAATAAGTGAATCTATACATATGGTCATATATCAATATATATTTTTCAACTAAAAATGTGTTTCAATTTAGGTAAGAACTACATTTTAAGAATTTGTTGGACACTAGGTGTCACTAGATTAAAGCAGAAGCCAACATTAAAAAAATTATTAAACTGTTCTGAAATAACTCCCAAAGAAGAATATGCAGTAGCATTTTGTTTCAGATTCCATATTTTCTTTTGTTTTTAGGATTTATAACTCAAATATTCAAGTTCACATCAGGATAAAATATAACATAGGGCATGGCCTTAGATTGAAATAATTAACTCCCCACCTCAAGTCAAGGGAAAATCAGACACTAATTTTTGCTGGCTCAGTAAGATCTTGAAGAAAGCAAGATTTGTTCTCAAAACGTAAACCTACTGATAATGTTGAAGGCAAGTTGCCTCTTAAGGAAGAATCTGCACTTGCTTCCTAAACATCCGGGGCCTTGGATGTGCGCTGATCTCAATAAACGGCAGCTTGTTCATACGTATAATGGACCTTCTGGTGCCACAAGGAAAAAAGACCCTTTAAAGCTACTCTATCCCACGCTTGGACCTGAAAACTGCCAGGTGTGAGGACCTTAGGTATTGTGTCTTGGAATATTTTTGCTTAGACTTCACTTTCAGCAAGTTTGGTGGGTTCTAAACTTTAGCTTTAAATCAGGATTATCTATGGGTGATGTTGTAACTAGAAAACCATTACTGACAATAAAATTACTTACTTAAAAAGCTCTTTTCTGTCGATGGCTCTGTTGGTTTGAGGGTCGATCGCATAGACAGTCAAGTCGCTCTTGCTGTAATCTTCCAGAGAAAAGGCATCTCCGTGCCGGCGAGCACCGATGGACTCCACCACAACTTTGGCACCAGGAATCTGCTCCTGAACATAGCGGTCCAGGATCCTGTCCATCAAGCAGAGTATGCGCATGACATTCTGATAGGCTTTCGGGGGGACGAGGGGGGGGGGGATGAACTCTCAACTTGAAATGACATTTCACAAATGAAAAATGATGACAGCCTAGTTCTTTTGCTAATGTTTACTGAATATGAACCCTTGGAAAAAAAAAATTCTCCATATTTTTCAGCACTTAATTCACACTGATGCTGGAAGCCACGTAAGGTAGAAGGAGGTCATCCATCCATGTCCTATTTATGTCTTGGCTTTTTGAATTTATGATACCATTTGGAGCTTTTACTTAGCTCATGGGAAATGACAACTGTGTTGTACAAATAAAGCTGTCTATGCTTTATTGGAGCCACGGGTTTTTAGAACTCCGGAGTTCATCTGGTTAATGTGGTCAACTACACTTCCCATAGGATTTTGTGATATGGAGTGCATAGCTATATGCTAAGGTACAGCACTAGGATACCTTTGTTCCTAAGGGCATGAAGATCCTTAGGGGATTATAGGAGTGGGAGAATGTAGAGCTATGTTGCTAAACCAAGCTTACCAGATTAAGATATAAATATTGCCTGGAAATATCAGAAGTTATTCAGGTGAATATAAACAACTAAAAGATATATCATTGGGTATGAAATCAGTAATATTCAATAGAAAAGACAAAATAAATGTTACCCTATAAGCAATTTTTTAGAAAATACCACTTTAAAAAAATTACATAACTTGATGTTAATTGAAAGTACAAATTCTTGTCATATAAGTATTTGTTTTTATGTAACCACGAGTGGCAATTTCCTTAATGATCTTTTCCTTATTAAAAACTTTATATTACTAATCCTTATAGGTTAATACTAGCATGTATATTTTAAATATTAATACACATAAGTGTGAATTAATTTAATAACTATATATGACTAATATTTTAAAACAATATTTATAGATTCAACATCCCTTTTGGAGTTCATGCTCTAAGGCATTTTGGGGTAGGGAGGGGGAAATTTTTTAATTCCTATGATACATCAGGAAATAACTTTTATTTCAGATGCCAAAATTAATCTGCTTTCTGTTCCATTAAAAAAAAAATTGCCTAGAATCGGTTGTGTGCTTGATTTTCACACAATTAAAGGAACAACAAGATATTAAACTCCGGGAGAAATGGCTATACCACTGAACACAAGCCTATGATGTGCACTTTGCGGGGCATTGCCAATAATAGCGAAATGCTTTGTTTGTTGGTTTTAAAATTTGCATAAAACAGCATGGGTGAAGTCTCTCTTGGTGAAGTACTAGTCATTCTTTTCCTTTTGTCTCACCGCCTCATACCTGGGGTCTCTCTGCCTCATGGTATCTTGGTCCTGTGATGAGACTCTTACTAAAGAATAAGTAAAAGACGACACGGGAACAAGTAAGAGAAGTAAATCCACTCATCAAATACTAATTGGGAGTTGAATGCAGCCTGCCTGGGAACTGGAAAGGAATGACTGCAAGACTTGGACTAGTCTAACGTCATCCAGCCTGTTTCAGGATTCTTTTCTTGAAGGCTTATGCTCACTTAAAAAAAAAGAGAGGGCTTGAAGTCAAACCACACTATGCTCCTGACGTTTTATAGGAGGCACAGATAGCAATAACATAGTGATAAAGAGCACAGAGGTCTGACCTAAATTTTCAGCTCCTTATCAATAGCATAACCTTAGGCTAGTAATTTTCAGCTCTTAAACTCTTGTTTCCTTAAGTAAAAAATGAAGAAATCATCTATGGTATGGTACCATTATGTGCATTAAGTGAGTGAAACCTTTTACTCTGAAATCCATGCAGAGTTTTTAGCACAAAGTAATTGTTCTATACAATATAAAACCGTATTTTCAGGCGTATAAGATGACCCCCTAATTTTACAGTTAAAACATAGGTTTAGGCCTATATTCGCTGTATAAGACTACCCCCCACTTCATGTTCTGTACCCGAAGCTACACTGTGTTCTAGTAAAAAGCCTGCTCAGATTGGCCAGAGTCAGAGAGGCGGTCTATTAAAGAAAGAACTGCTGTTGCCTCGGAAGTGGGAGGTAGTCTTATTACAGGCGTAACTTTATGTTTTAACTGTAAAATTAGGGGGTCGTCTTATACGCCGGAAAATATGGTAATTATTAATTTTAGTCTAATTTTTGCATTTATATGCTTCTCCCCTGTTTCTATTTTATTCCACTTTTAAAGATCATTCTTTGTTTAAAGGAAAACATAAAGGAGAGACATAAAGGAAAACAAAGTGTAGAGATCAATGTCTGATGCTTTACTATCTTTCTTGAAGTGGGCATAGATATTCTTAAAAAGGTAGAAAATTTTTTTTTTCTTACAGAATTCAGGATGCTGCTTCTTATCATCTGTTGTGTTGAATATGGAGGACAAATTCCCCCTCTGCTTCATCTCAGTTACTTTGAACTACCTGAATGGTTTCTTGGTGAATGAAGCCCAGTGTTTTGCACCTGAGGGAAAGTTTTTATGGTGGCAGTGGTATCACCACACTGTTAGAAAATATGGTGCTAAAGCTAGCTAACATCTCAAACAAAAGTAGGGTTATGCATGATCACTGGTTTCCATAAACACTAATGAAACTTTAGGTCTATAATGTGGAGAAAACTGCATTCCATTCCAATGCAAAAGGAGTAATAATAGGGACATATTTCTTAAATAAAATATTCTGCAAAAGTTCCTGAAACATCATACATTTTTCACTGGGGCCCACACACGTCCTATTCTCCACATACACATGACCTTGACCTCTACCTGCTCCCCTGCACTGTACTGATTCTCCAGACTGCCCGAACAGTGGCTGCTAATCCATAAGTTCTCAAAACTAGTTGAACTGCAGCCAATCCTTTCCTGCTAAAGCCCCATAAAACCTCTGCTTTCCTTCCCCAAGAGTCTTGGGAGATTTCCCAAGCCTGGGATTTTCAAATACAAACTTGTGCTAATAGTGCTCTGAGTGATTCTCTTTTGCAATCTTTTAGTCACCTTCTCTCCCCCACATATTGTATTTACAGAATAACTATTTTGGAGATATAACTAACATAATTTTGTTAAAATATATTTTTATTCATTTCAGAGAGGAAAAGAGGAGAGAAATAGAAACATCAATGATGAGAATCATTGATTGCTACCTCCTGTATGCCCCTTATTGGGGATTGAGCCCACAACCCAGGCATGTGCCCCTGACCGGAATTGAATCTGGGGCCCTTCAGTCAGCAGGCCGATGCTCTATCCACTAAGCCAATCTGGCTAGGGCCCAAACAATTAAATAATAATAATAATAATAATAATAATAATAATGTAGGGCTCTGTTTTCAATTATGATAGGCATGGAGATCTATATTTTACACTATCATGATTGCTCTGTGGTTTAATACCTGCCATAGAAAGCATAGTATTTTAAGACCTCTGATAGAGTAATACTCTAATTACATTCCTGGCAATATAAAATACATGTTCACACAATACTCCCTTTTATACTTGTCAATATTGAATTTTACTAATTCCTTTGCTCCTCAAAAATAGCAAGGGCTAAGAAGTGTCTCCGTCTCCCACCCCCTTAGGTTCCAGGAAACTGCTTACTGTGAAGAGCCTTACCCTCCCTGGCTTGTAGAAGGCTAATAAAGAGCAGCGGCTGCCAGGCTGGGAGCGGCCAGGCCCGGGGGAGCAGCCGGGTCGGGTGCGGCCAGGCCCGGAGCAGCGGCTGCCAGGCTGGGAGCGGCCAGGCCCGGGGGAGCAGGCGGGTCGGGTGCGGCCAGGCCCGGAGCAGCGGCTGCCAGGCTGGGAGCGGCCAGGCCCGGGGGAGCAGCCGGGTCGGGTGCGGCCAGGCCCGGAGCAGCGGCTGCCAGGCTGGGAGCGGCCAGGCCCGGGGGAGCAGGCGGGGCTGGTGCGGCCAGGCCCGGAGCAGCGGCTGCCAGGCTGGGAGCGGCCAGGCCCGGGGGAGCAGGCGGGTCGGGTGCGGCCAGGCCCGGAGCAGCGGCTGCCAGGCTGGGAGCGGCCAGGCCCGGGGGAGCAGGCGGGTCGGGTGCGGCCAGGCCCGGAGCAGCGGCTGCCAGGCTGGGAGCGGCCAGGCCCGGGGGAGCAGGCGGGTCGGGTGCGGCCAGGCCCGGAGCAGCGGCTGCCAGGCTGGGAGCGGCCAGGCCCGGGGGAGCAGGCGGGTCGGGTGCGGCCAGGCCCGGAGCAGCGGCTGCCAGGCTGGGAGCGGCCAGGCCCGGGGGAGCAGGCGGGTCGGGTGCGGCCAGGCCCGGAGCAGCGGCTGCCAGGCTGGGAGCGGCCAGGCCCGGGGGAGAGGCGGGTCGGGTGCGGCCAGGCCCGGAGCAGCGGCTGCCAGGCTGGGAGCGGCCAGGCCCGGGGGAGCAGCCGGGTCGGGTGCGGCCAGGCCCGGAGCAGCAGCTGCCAGGCTGGGAGCGGCTAGGCCCGGAGCAGCAGCAACCAAGTCCAGAGCAACTAGGTCGGGAGCGGCAGTGACCAGACCCGGAGCAGCTGATTGTGGAATGAACCAGAGCAACAGAGGCCAGGCCCTGAGCAGCCAGGCCCAGAACAGCTCGCTCCTTGCCTGCCCCTGCCCCACGGCTGCTTCTCAGACATGGCTGGAAACTTTCGTGGGAACTTGAGGGTCTGCTGAATCAAGTGATGAAGGCTTAGATCTGGATGTGTTGAGTTAGTTTAGGACTGGGGTGTTGATCTGTGAGTGCTTTGGGTGGGGCCTGGATGAGGCTGGTTGACCTAGAGGGAAATGTCTTTTGTGTGAAGTGTATCATTGGGCATGTGGAGGTATTATTGATATGAGAAAATGCTAAGTAACTGATTTACTATCTGAAAAGGGATTTACTATTGGGGAAATTGAGGGAAGAAGAGACTGAACATAAACTGCACCTATGGATGAGGACAATGGGGGGGGGACGGAGGGTGGGGTGGGAACCTGGTGGAGGGGGGAAGAAATGAGGAACCTTTGTAATAATATGAACAATAAAGATTGATT